GCTGGACGGGGTCCGCACAGTCAATGCGCTCGTGCACCGAACTTGAACCTTCACGCTCTGCAACATGCAAGACCGAATCTTGAACTGCTTCATGCATGGTCGAATAACGAACAACACGGTGCGAACTGGGTTCAACATCGGACGTGTAGTGCAACGAATGGAGTGACGATGACATATCAATGTCGATGGCTCCTGGGTGGACAATTGAAATCCAAGGCACGTTACACCAGAGAAAAATGTCAAGATGAGTTCTACTACTCTTAGTTCTGTTTGGAACCTGGGACCTGGTCGTGACCTCCAAAATGTGAGAGGGACAAACATGGTGGCTTCGCCGGTTTATCTACCTCTCTGGAGGTCCGGGAACAGCTCTTGCCAGGTGAACATGAAAACGTCCAACCTTTACTGGCAAGAAGTGCAACACTCAGCAAACTAACCTGTCCATATCCGATCAGACCTGTGACTCTGAGCTTCTGCGGCCTCTGCAGTTGGCTGCCAGCGCAAATGCTGCGCGACGCTGGTGACAGGCTTGAGCTAGCAGGTGCTGCGGGCGACGGCGCGGCGGCTCTCGACGAAGCAGCAACAGGCGAAGCAGCACAAGGCGACGACGCGGCGGCTCCATCGCAATCTACAAAGCTAACATGCCTACTTTTGAGAGCATGCGTGCTGAACTCTGCTTCGACACACCGATTTAAGATCATTTCCTGTCCATTGGCTGTGGTGCATCGTTCGTTGACGGCCCACTCCCTGCAAATCTGCAGGTATCCCTCATCCACTAGACTTTGACTGATCAAGTGGATGCTTGCTCCACTGTCCACCAAAAAGTGTGGATCAGTGGCATCGGCGTCCGCGACACTGGACGTCGTCAGTCGGTTGCCATAGCTGTGAAGCTGGTTCAGTAGGACATCGGGTGGTACTGTCATGTCTAGCACACAACCCATTCCGAGAATGTCTTCTTCATCCTCCTCTCCTACACTGGCACGTGCTCCTTTCGGTTTCCCGCCTTTCGGTCCTTTTCCGCCCTTTGGTTCCCCTTTGCCTCCTTTGGGCTTACCACCTTTTGGGTTTCCTTTCTTCTTTGGGTCGTAAGGAGAATGTGAACGATCCTTTCCACCTTTTGGTTTGCCACCTTTCTCATTACCTTTTCCTTTTCCTTTGTCCTTATCGGTACGCTTTGGTGACTTTGACCAACAATCTTTCTCAACATGTCCTGGCTTCCCACATCGACGACATCGAATCTCCTTGCCTTTGCCTTCACCCTTTGGTGTGCGTTCTTTCCCTCCTTTGGGGCTTCCTTTGGGTGGTCGGTCATACCCAACAGGATTTCCTTTGTGACTATCTCTGGAAAAGTCGAGTGCTTTCGATTGCTGTTCATAGAACTCCAATGACTCCATCAACTCTCGTAAAGTCGAAGACTTCCCGTGGAATGCAAGGTGTCTGTGAATTTCTTGCGGTAGGCACCTCATCATGACCATGATCTGGTCCACCTCCATCATCTGGAGATCTGCGAATGCTGCACACTGATCTCGCAAGCGTGCAAACTCCTGCGTAAGGAACAAACATGTGTCCAACGGGTTCTTGATACTCCCTGCTGATGGACATCCAAGTTGCTTCAATCCATTCACATCAAGTCTCATCACTGCTTCCCTCAGTGACAGTGCTTCCGCTCGAGTCGTAACTCCAAGCAAGTTGTTGATTCTTCTGAACAACTCGTATCCGCACGTGAGTCCTCCCTGCTCTCGTTCCTGCAGGACTGCGAGGTCCAATCCCCTCTTGTATCCTGACATTGCTTGTTTCATCCAGTGATACAGTTTACTACTCCTCACTGCGGCTTCCGGGGCAAGTTTCCCTTGCTCAATGGTAGTTGTTTGCTTCACTGCCTCTTGCAATTCCGCTGCGTAGCACTCGTCCAAAAGACACAACCACGATCCAAATCGCTCTCTGAAGGATAACCAGGTGTTGATCTCATGTCTCCTTCCTGAATCTTTGATCTCAAGTTGTGGACAGTTCGGTATGTAACTCTCCATCTTTCCTCCACTGCTTCCAGAATATTTTGAGTCAGATTTCTTGGGCGCTGAGGTGAACAGCGATCCTGCTCTCGGTGTATTGGACGTAGCAGCTTCCTCTGCAGCTTTTCTCTCCTCTTCTGCCTTTCTCTCACGCTCATCCGCTTCGCGTTGAGCTTGGTCTTTCAAGACATCAGTCTGCATCTGAACCAAACCTGAAACTAGCTTGGTCAGTTCTGAAATTTGTGCTCCTTGTCCAGCGATCAAGTTCTGCTGTTGAACAATATTCTGATGCTGGTTTCTCAATACTTCGATCAACGCTTCTTGTGCCAATCCCTGTCCTCCGGTAGGACTCGCAGGCATCTGAGGTGAGTTGAAATCATCTTGAAACGTTCTCCCCGTTGGGGTAGGGCTGTTCGGTACCGGTATCCCTGCAGCAGCACTCTCTGCTGGATCTGGTGGTGGGGATCTTTCTCGACCTGTGTACTCTTCCATACTCACTGGTCGCCTCCTCGTTGGCGATGCTGTCCGTCGCTCGGTAGGACTGGACATTCTTCCTGGGAGCTCCACGCTCCGCTACCACGAAAAACTCCGGGTAGCAACCTTACACGGTAGACTACCTACCTCCCCTGGATCTTTAGCTCACAACAGGCTCTCACACTCGTCCGGTACGGTACGAAACCTTTCCCTTATACTTCCGAATACTTCGGAAAACTTCAAACGCTGCACAAGCTGCTCTCAGACACTCGCACCCTTTTCTCACACTAGCCAAACGAATTGGCCTTGAGCCAAAACATATCCCGTAGCACTAAACTATACAAAGAATACACAAAAACATATTAAAAGTCTCTTGAAAGTATCTCCACACACAAAGAACTCTTTCAAAACTTCCGACTACGCTACAACTCGCTTTCAAACAATTAAGAAACAAAATGTTGTACTACCGCCAGGTTCCAAATCTTTCACAAACAAACTTAAACGAAATTTATGCATCGCAAACTGCAAGCATCGAGCGAGGTGGACATCCTGACATGGAATTTCTTCAAACTTGGCATTGACCTGCCTTACGCCTGCCCTAGCCTGCCTTACAGTTCAAGAACAGGTGTGGGCACAAAGGTCAGCAACGATCATGACAGGGCAAATTCCACAGGGGAACGGA